TGGTCCACTTTAGCTTCGAAAGAAGGTTTATAAGGATTCAGACTCATTTTCCCACAGTCACATCAACCTTCATTTGGGAAAGAAATGTAAAAAGGAATTACAGTCTTGTTCGGAGCATTTCAATCTCTTTGCCAGTTTCAGAACACAATATGCTTACCACCGACTAATCCAAGACAAGTGTCTTATCTAAACATGTCAGTTTTTTAAAAATACAGACTGGCTCACTGATGTACACATTACTTTTTGGATTAAAAAGATACTTGAAAAAACAAATTTAAGGTACCTCAGCAGTTAAAAGAAACCTTATTGACAAAAAATTAAACCAGACTTTTTTTTAAAAAACAGATACCTGAAATAAACATTACTCTGGTAAATTTAATAGATGCATCCTGAATTTGCTAACACCTTGCCTTTTATTCTTTTATGTAACTGTTCAAAGAATGAAAGTTATCAGTTCTCCAAAGGAGAATTTTTTCTCAAATGTGTTAACTTGAGTAAACAATGATTTGCATTTTGAAAAATAAACTTCCTATAAACAAACTCTGATGTCTTTTTTTTCTTTAAATATTTATTTTTTAGTTGTAGTTAGATACAATACCTTTATTTTTCTTTTTAAAAAATATTTAATTTTTAATTTTTTTTTAGTTGTACATAGACACAATATTTTTATTTTTATGAGACGCCAAGGATCCCCAGGGACTTGCCCATACTAAGCAAGTGCTCTACCGCTGAGCCACAACCTCAGCCCTATTTATTTTTCTTTACGTGGTGCTGAGGATGGAACCCAGGGCCTCACACATGCTAGGTGAGCACTCTACTGCTGAGCCACAACCCCAGCCTGGCTGATGTCTTTTACAGCAGCACTCCCTCACAGAGCAGCACATAAGATGAGTAGCTATAGTTTAATGAAGTGACTGCTATTCATTTGGGCTTTTTTTTGGTACTGGGGATTAAACTCAGGGGGTTCTACCATTGAGCTACACCCCCAGTCCTTTTATTATTATTATTATTTATTGAAACAGGGTCTCGCTAAGTTGCCAAAACTGGCCTTGAACTTGCAACCCTCCTGCCTCAGCTTCCCAAGTTATTAGGATTCCAAGCTGCCATCTATCATTTGAGCTTTTGAATAACAGTATCTTCTACAAATGTAAACAGAAAACAAAGATGGGTTTTGTAGCACAGGGGAAAGGCTAGAGCCCTTGGCCTTGCCTGTCGTTTCCTACATAAAGGGCTCTTTCTGCAGGTCAAAGTGACCGCCCTGGCTCAGGGTGGCTAACAGTCCACCAGGGTGGCAGCCCAGTGAAAAGCAGCCTTCCTCTGAGGCACACAGCCAATGGTGGCCTGACTGCAGCCTGCTTTAGAACTTCCCACAGGAAAACATATGCACTGTCCCTGAAGGGCCACTGTACTTTCTTCAGATGGGAATTAGGTAATATGATGTTCCCCTTTGTGGCCCAGGAACCAATAAGTTCATTTACAAATCTGTTTAACAGTACAGAAAGCACATGCATAAGACAGCAGCTAGTATTTATTTACAAGGCAGGGAATGTTGAGTCCTTCAGGTGCACTATCTATCCAATGGTTTAAATCCACCCACTTGCTGATGTACGGAGTGCTTACTCTGTCATAGGCCTCATTCTAGGTGCTTGAGGACACTTCAGCAATCATATAAAGGTCCCTACCTCCAAGAAGTTCAAGTGGAGGGTGGCAAGAGGAAAGAAAAGAGCATGTAAATAAACACACTACACTGTTGGAAGGAGATAAGTGCTGTGAATAGAAATAAAGCAGGCAGAGGGGATGGGTGTGGAGGAGGGTTCAGTTTTAAAGAGCATGATCACTGCAGAGCCTTCCTGCAAAGGTGACAAAGCCAGGAAGACAATGTCCAGAACAAGCACCCTGTGGTAGAAAATGTTCCTGGCCTTTTAAAGGAACAAGGAGGCTGGAGGAACAAGGGAGGACACAGGAGGTGATATCAAGGACAGCTGTGGGCTGCAACTTTTGCTTGGAGGAAGATGGTAGTCCCAGCAGGGACGGAAGCAGAGGATTCTCTGGCTGCTGTGCTGAGAACACACTGAGTATGGGGACAGCTAAGTCTTAGGGCAGGGCAGTTGGGAAACCACTGTCATGACACAGGTGTGACACTGGCCTCTGCCAGGACAGCACCAGAAGAGGTGTTGAATCAGGGTCAGATTCTGTGTATATTCTGAAGGCAGAGTTGACAGCATCTACTGTGGGTTGAGAGAAATAAGACTTGAGGGCCACTCCAGACCCCAGAGCTTCACAGCTACAAAGACTACACTGCTTTAACCCAGACAGGGAGGTTCTGGGGGCAGCAGGGTACAGGGAGTTTGGTTTGTCTCTGTTACATTTAGAATGGCCAGTGAATGTTCGAGCTATCTCAGGCAGCTAGAGGGCCTGTGAGAGAAGCACCGTCATTCACAGATGATATTTACAACCACTAGACGAAATGTGATCACCAAGGGAGGGGCCTCATAGAGGAGTGGGGTAGACTCTAAGCCTGGGTAGCTCCTGCAGCATGGGGCAGTGTGGCTGCAGACAGCCAAGGAAACAGAAGCAGCAGACAGACAGGATGGCGTAGGACATGGTCCTGGACGTCTGAGCCAGAAGCTGACTGATGTGTCTCTGTGTTAAGACCTGAAAGACACAACAGCTCAGCCTCCACTCTAGGGCTCTTGTGCTACTGTTTTTCACCTTACTATTAGTTGCTCCAAATCCTTAAAAATAAGGTGGCTATTCATCAAACATGACTTTGGTATACCTCTTTTAACTTCTGATCTGTATGTCCTCATCTATAACAACGGGCAATAGTAGGCCTGAGAGAGAATACCTTAAGGTGGTTGTGAAGACAAAGAAATACTACTACATGAAAGTGGACTTTTATTAGTTTGAAGCCATAACATCAGCTAAGCTGTACAGCAGAATCTCAAAACAAAAATGTATCAGGCTTAGGAGATGGAGCTGAATAAAACAGTTCCCAGACAAAAAATGCTGCTTCACAGATGGTTTTCCAACAAGTTAAAATTTTACTTAATTCTTTTTTTAAAAAAATATATTTTGATGTAGTGTTAAATAGTTTAAAAAGTATGTACATGTGGTATTTCATTATTTGGTAGCTGTGGTTATATCAACCAATGAATGTTGTAGGTCCACAACAAAAATGTTTGTGTGTAGTGTGGAAGATGTTTCTATATTATAAGAGATAGAGTAGCCCTTTTCCTTCAGGTTACATTTTTGATAAATGATTATCCTACTTGGGGACATATATGGGGGAGGTAGGAATTATTGGAGATGAGACACACAAGATATTGGAGATGTGGAATATAATATATCTTATAGAACTTAATTTCACTGTTCGACACTGCATGCTCTTTAGATGAAAGGTGTCACCTGGACCCAGTGTCTGCCTTTGCTGTGAACAGAACAAGCCAGTAGGAAGTATAATCAAAGCCACTGAGGACGGCAGTGGCTGTGTGTCTTGGCTGAGGTTCATATCCACCTCCATGGCACTGGATTCTATTTTCCCTGTGCCTGACCAAAATCTCCTCCTGGTTGGGTCTCCGCTCCACCTTCAATGTTTAACTTAAATAACAGATTACTTGGACTGTTCTGGAGAAGGTCTCCCTTCCCTGAGGGGGTTTCTGACTCTCACGTGGTCCCCAGCAGATGTCCTGTCATTGGGCTCTGCTCAGTAAGCTTGATGCACCCTTTATCATGTTTGGCAGGGATGTCTGAGTGCTGCACAGGTAGGTTTTACAAACAAAATGTACCTAAGAACAAACCAAGCACACATTCCACATCTAAGCTGTGGCTGGACCCTGCTTAAGTACCGAGTGTGTGTGTGTGTTAGGCCAAAGCATCTCCAGTTACTGCTTCTTTCTCTAAGGTTTCCCGACTAAATCTCTACAGGAACAAACAACAATTTCTTTCCTGATATATCTTTTCCAAGGATAAGTTCCAGAGGTCTGAATATCAAGCTCAGTTAAATTTATCTATTATTTATTAAACATCTCTTTAAAAAAAATTTTTTTTAGTTGTAGATTTATTTATGTGGTGCTGAAGATTGAACCCAGTGCCTCACACTTTAGGCAAGCACTCTACCACTGAGCTACAACTTCAGCCCTAAATATCTCTTCTTAAAAAAGTATAGACCATAAGCTAAAAAAAAAAGACTGTCAAATACTCTTCTGAATCTTTTATTTTGCCTTAATGTTAAGAGACTGTACCCTAAATTCAATTTAGAAATATTTAACTACTTTGTAAGCAAGCAAATGATATACTGTTCCTACAACAAAAATAATAAAGAGGGCAGTTAGTCTAGTACTAAAACAAAATTTTCTATAACTTATTTCTAAATAAAATGTGAAATTCAAAAACATTTCATTTGCATATCACTTACTCTTTAAAATACAACCCATATCTTGTCAATTAAAAAGATTTTAACCCTTTATTCCCTTGCTAGCCCTTAAAAGATTTGAGCAACAGCAATAATCTGATGTAACAATTTAAATATGGTTTCAGTTTGCTTTGTAGTTTGGTTTACTCAACTGTCCCTGGATGATGATCACATGCACAGCAGTATCCCTGTAGCCAAGGGCACAAGGTCAGGGTTCAAAGGTGTTATAAAGAATCCTAGTTCTTGATGGATGTGGTGGCACACACCTATAATTCCAGCTACTTGAAAGGCTGAGGCAGGATTGCAAGTTCATGGCTAACCTAGGCAACTTGGGTGAAACCTTGTCTCAAAAAAAAAAAAAAAAAAAAAAACCCAGCAAAAATAGGACTGGGGATGTAGCTCAGAGGTAGAGTACCCTTGGGTTCAATCCTCAGTACTCCCCGCCACCACCAAATACTTGTTCTTAAATAGGACTACAGACTGTGCAGACCATTCCCTCTGATGGGCTTGATGAACATCCTGTCCTACAGCAGAACAGAAGCGTGCGGTGGCAAAAGCAGAGAGGACTGTGCAGGATAGAACTTACTTCAGAACCTGTAGGAGTCCAGGTGTCACCGACGTCGGTCTCACCATTCCAGCTCCATTAATGGTCCCCAGATGAACCTGAGGATAATAGACGGTCCGGAGAGCGAGTCTTGAAGACTGTAACCTGGTCTTAATGACTTCTAGTGGGCAAGTGAAAATAGCACCAACTGTGCCCCCACACCTGGAAGAGAAGAGGTCACCGCAGGATCAGAAGAGTGGCCTGATTTTCTGCATGAGCAGGATGTGGAGTCTGACTCTTCTCTTAGAAAAAGGGCACATACATTAATGAAAGCAGAACACAAAGGAGGCTTAAAAAAAAAAAGTTGAAATCCCCGAGTTAAAGTGATAACCACTGTCACCATGTCCTTCTATACTGGCACAGACACACCACCTTCTCCTGATTTTGTACTCTCTCTGTGTTGATGTATAATATTTTTAAAAAATTTTTATTTGTTCTTTTTTGTTATATATGACATATAATATTTTAACAAACTTCCTAACGTTGGACATACATGCCATCTCTCATCTCACTATCTGCTGCAAGGAATATTCTAGAAAGTGCATCTTTTCACGCCAAAACCAAATATTCAGGTAATGGCACTATTGCAAAATTCCATGTTTATGACAATACGGATCTTTATTAAAATCTAATTTACTTACTGCTTACTAATGATCCCCTCAAGTTAGCTTCCTAGCAAGCAATTGTGTATAGTTTGATTTGGGAACAGACTCCAGCACCAATCAAAACAACTTGTGTAACTATCAGGGCCAGCAGAAAATTGTTGTAAAACAAATCACTTCACCTTACCCCATTGTTGCCCTTTTATCCCTTTGAAAATGGGGTCCTGGCCAGGTGCAGTGGCACACACCTATAACCCAGTAACTTGTAAAACACCTACTTCAATCTTCTTTTACATAACAGGATCCATAAATCATGTTTGATAAGCTAGTTATAACGAACAATGTCAAGTACCATCTAACGCCACCACCCATACCACGAAGGATGCAGGCTTTCCTCCTTGAAAAACGTGACTCTAGAGCATGATGATCCTCAAGGTCAGGACCCTGCATTCCTCCCAGTGAGATCTCAAACGGTACTTATTCATTTGAGATTCCATGGGGAATGTTTTTAGAAGGCACCTAAATAACTGGGAAGAGCATTCACCCTTCACCTTCCACCCCTGCCGCCTGCACTTGCAGTGAGCTGCTGTGGGCCTGGCACTCAAGGAGGTTCAATCAGAATGATGCTGCATTGGCATCTCAGACTGGGACAGGCTAAGCTCGGAAGGACAGGAGCTGGCACTGTGCAGGACTCCTGCTAGCTCCCCGGCTCCACCACAGCTTCACCAACACAGGGTTAGGCAGGGGAAATCTAGAAGCATCCCAGGCCCTCCCACACAACTGGGGTAACCAATGAAGTCAAATCTCCAAGCAGGACGCAGATCCGGAGCCTGAAGCTCCACGGAGCAAGCAGCAGACGGAGAAACCAGCATTGAAAGCCATCTGCTAACCAACAGCACTGCTGCCATCAGCCCAGGGATGGTTTGTGACAAACATTTACTCCTCTGACAATCTTAAGAGGCAGGAATAACCAGCCCTATTTCACAAGGAGGAACCCAAATGTCAGGAGACAGAAATGTACAGATGGGGTAGAAGAGGACAGAGCCAGTGGGGGCTGGTTAGGTAAACCTGGTTTAAGTCACAATGAGGACAAATCCTAAACTGCTACCTACAACGGTGGTTTCTGAACTGAGGGCCCAAGCCCATCAATCACAAAAGCACTTTGGGGGATCACAAGCAGGACAGGGAAGCAGGAGAACAGAAATTGATGAAGCCCTGTACTGAAGGCAACGTGGCTCTCCACAAGCTTATATACTTTTTCAAAGTCTCCAAGTCATTAAGCATTCAACCCACCCCTATCCAGGTCCCCTATGCTAAGATACCCTCTTGTGGGATATTTATGGAAAGAAAGCAAGTATTGTTAGTTTGTTTATACTACTATATATTAGCTTTATTAGTTAACTCAGACTTTTGTAAAACTCTCATGGATTTTTTAATCAAGAAGGTATTTTGAGCTGGGCATGGTGGCACACGCCTATAATTCTAGGGGCTCAGGAGGCTGGGGCAGGAGGACTGTGAGTTCAAAGCCAGCCTCAGCAATAGTGAAGTGCTAAGCAACTCATTGAGATCTTGACTCTAAATAAAATACCAAATGGGCTGGGGATGTGGCTCAGTGCTTAAGCACCCTGGCGCGCGCGCGCGCGCGCACACACACACACACACACAAAAAGAAGCAGCAGCAGAAGACGACGACTTTTGAGTCTTACTTAATATTGATCTGTATAATTTATGCTTAGCACTAGGCTGTATCTAAAAAAAAACAGAATAACAGGGAGCAGTTTTAAAAAGAGGTTGGAAAATACTAACTTTCTAACCCATGCCTAGTCATATAAAATAAATAACTCTTCTCCATTATAATACTAACTACATGCTTAAAGAAGCCCAATAGGTAGGCAGGGGCGTAACTTGTTGCCTGAAGGGCAAGAGGCTATGGCTTTGAAGGCCAGTGACACATTCACCTGATGCATAAAAACTTCAAAAACTTACTTTCCAATAGTTTCAAAATACTGGAAAAAATGGGCTGGGTTTGTGGCTCAGAAGTAGAGCGCTTGCCCGGTGTGCGTGAGGCACTGGGTTTGACCCTCTGCACCACATAAAAATAAAAGGTATTGTGACTACCTATAACTAATATATATATATAAATATATATATATATATTTATATTTTAAAATACTGGAAAAATTACATGTTACAGAGTAAGATAAAGAAATATCTGGGGGCTGGGGCTCAGTGGTGGAGTGCTCCCCTAGCATGTATGAGGTGCTGGGCTTGATCCTCAGCACCACATAAAAATAAATAAATAAAATAAAGGTGTTGTTTCCAAACTACAACTAAAAAAAAAAAAAAAAGAAATATCTGAAGTCGATTTATGGTGAACAACCCAACTACATGTGACCAAAAGAAGCTTAAAAAAAAAAAAGCTTCTGTTTAAATTCCTTTATCAGAAGGTCATAAAGTTCAAATCAGATACAGGTCAACCACCTTCACTTTGTCCCTCAGTCAGCTGCACTCATGACTTTGTCCAAGTGTCATCCAAATCTATGCCACTGATGGAAGATGACCAGCAGGAAGCAGTCTGTAGACAAAGCCGCCTCCTGACAGTGAGTGACCTCTCTGAGGTGGGAGGCCACACACTAAGCACTGCAGCCACTTTCTTATGTTGTACCCTGTCACTTTGGTGCAAGGCCTGATGGTGACAAAAAGACCAGAGCCGGGCACTTGCAGGCTCAGCGGCTTCAACTACAAGCAGGGAGGATGCAGTGTCAGTGTCAGAGCAAGCCAAGCAGCAGCAGGAAGCACTGCGACAGAGCCCTGCAGTGCATGATGAGCAGAATGCTGCTGCCAGGCGGGCCTCACCTCTCCTGCTGGAAATGTCTCAGGGGCTGGGGCTCAGGGGCAGAGCGCTCGCCTAGCATGGGCGAGGCCCTGGGTTCGATCCTCAGCACCACATTAAATAAAATAAAGATACTCATTCAACTACAACTCAAATATTAAGAAAAATGTCTTAGAAGTGACCTATTTTAGTCAGCTTTATCACTGCTTGACTAAAGGATCTGACCAGAACAATTTGAGGAAGAAAAGTTTACTGCAGGGGCTCACAGTTTCAGAAGTCTCAATCTATGAATGGCAGGCTCCATTCTTCAGGGCTTGAGGTGAGGCAGGACATCATGGCAGAAGAGTGTGACAGAGGGATCCAGCTCACAGGAAGATCAGAAAGCAGAGAGGCTCCACTCGCCAGATACAAACTATGTACCCTGTAGCCAGGCCCCAGTGAACCACGTCTTCAAGCCATCTGTCTCCGGTCTCCAGTCGCCGCCTCTCCATTAATGTCATCAGGGATTAATTCACTGATTAGGTTAGGGCTATGCATTTTTCCTCCGAAACTTCTTGCATTTCTCAAACGTGAGCTTTTGGGGGACACCTCGCACCCAAACCATAACATGACCTGACCAAAGGATATTTTTAAGTCATTGTGTCAGATACAAATTCACTGTAGTACTCAATTAGATGAAAACAAGTTATAATCTTTAACTAAAAATTTGCAAATAAGATCCTTCTAGCTGGACATATTAGCACATGCCTGTAATCCCAGTGACTGGTGAGGCTCAGGCAGAAGGATGGCAAGTTCAGGGCCAGGCTGGGCAACTTAGCAAGGCCCTGCTTCAAAATAAAAAAAAAAGGACTGGGGACGTGACTCAGTGGTTAAGCACTCCTGGGTTCAATTCCCAGAGGGCCCTCCTAATCCAGAAATTTAAAACATTTCCCATTGGTACTCCTTTTTCTTTTTTCATGAATCAACATGGGCAAGACATTCATCAATCTGAGAAGATAAAATACTTATTTTGATTGGCCTTCCAAAGTTTTCTAAAAATATTAAATCATAGGGCTGGGCTTAGCTCAATGGCAGAGAGTGTTTGAAGGCCCTGGGTTTCATTCCCAGCACCACACACACACAATCATAAATATTTACTTTTTCTAAAAATATCTGGGACCCGGCGCTTTAGATCACAACAAACCATATTCTTTGTAGAAAAGCTCTCCCCGCTGTCCAGATTCCTCAGTACAAACACCACCTGGCTGCACACTGGGCTCTGCCGCCCTGTGTTCCACTGCGCTGCCCAGTGTTAACCCAGTCTCTCTGGAGTCTCAATTCAGAAAGGACTCAGGCACTGGTCCTGTCACTGGTCCCCTACCCATGGCTTTCAGCTGTGCTCACTGAACTCCTCTTTCCCTTCAATGGCATGGGCAGATTCCAGACTTTTCCGTAACTTTCAGGTTTTCCCAACACAGTCCCACTGATACTTCCATCTCTGATCAGCTTCAAATTTCCCTCTTCTACTGCTAGGCAAACTTGTGACATGTGGGGACTTGGCTTGCTCTGTCACTTTTTTTCCCTTTGATTTATGGTTCTCTGGGCTTGAGGACAGGGAGAAGAGATGTGGTCTTGTCTTATTGGGGGTCCATCCAGCTGTGTGCTGTATTGGTGGCCCCAGAGAATGTTACAATTTCAGTGCAACTGGTACTCAACCCACTCACCAAGCCCTGACACAGGACACCCCTCCTTGGGTCTCAATAGTAGCTCCTCCCCCAACCTCTTTTCTGCCTTACTTGGCCTGGAGACTTGGGTAGCAATAGCGCCTTCCCTTCCTCTGGCCCACGTGCTCCTCGACAAGAAGCCAATGGAGCTGGTCAGCTTGGCTTTCCTCAGCCCCTTCTCACCCTGCTGGCTCACAGGACGCAGCAGCTTCCCACCTGCAGGAAGCAAACGGCCCCAGAGCAAGCTTCAAGTCTTTCTGCCTTGAGAGCTCCCTCACTCTGCAGCCCAGACTGGAGGACAGAGTAGGGGACAGGGACAGTAAGATGTTCTTAGTACTCAACAGGACCCAACGTTGACAGTCATGTATTTTCTTCTCTGCATACACAGTGTGTGGGTAGAGTGGTCAATGGCAGCAGGAAGACTCTAATACCTCTTTCTAAGACTAGGTTTATTTGGTTCATTTGAGTGTCCTGGTAGCCATGCTCAGACAATGGGAAAAGTCACATTCAATGTCCACTTACATAGTGACACAGACTTAGCATCACATAATTGGGGAGCTGACTAATCTGACTGAATAGCAATATTTTAGATCATTAATCTCCAAAGTGGGCTTTGTCCTCCACTGTAAAGACCCACTCATGTACAGAAAGAAATACAATTTCAACAGGGAACAGTGGCATGTGCCTGTATTCCCAGCAATTTGGGAAGCAAAGGCAGGAGGATTACAAAGGAGCCTCAGCAACTTCACCAGATCCTGTTTCAAAATAACAAAAAGGTAAGGGATGTGATTCAATGGTAAAGTGCCCAAGTTCAATTAGTAACAAAAAAAGAAAAAAAAAATCGAAAAAGATGAAAGATTTTATTTCTAATCTCCATTTAATTTATAAAATTTGTGTATACATTTTATATGTATAAAATAGGGCAGAATAAACATTTCAATCATAGGCCTGTGTGATCAAAACTTGAAACCACGATTCTAGACCAATGTTCCAAGCCTGGGCAATTTTGTCCCCACCCTCAATGACATTTGGCGATGTGTGAAAATATTATGGTGTTGAAATGGGGGAAGAAGCCACATACAGTGACTATGCCTGTAATCCCTCAGGAGGCGGAGGCAGGAGGATCACAAGTTGGAGGCTGGTCTTGGCAATTTAGCAAGACCTTGTCTTGAAATAAAAAATAAATTTAAAAAAAGAGCTGGGGAAGCGGCTTGGTGGTAGAGGTCCCTTGGGTTCAATCCCCAGCATCACAAAACACGAAAACAAAACCAAAACACATACAGGAGAAACGGGTGTTGGGAAGTTTTTACTACCACGTAGTAAGTAGAGGCCAAGAAGCTGCTCAACATCCTCCCATGCACAGGACATCCCCTCCCCTCAAAATAATTACCTGACTAAGGTTGAGAAACTCTTGTTTCAGACCAAAAAAATGGACAACACATCTGGAGACAGCAGAACCCAGGCAGAGGGCACTGCAGGCTGCTTCCTGCCTCCCTGCACCCATCCCTCAGATCCTCATTTGTTAAGCCACACAGTACACATGGGACTGAGCTCATTTCTCTTTTTAGCTCTGACTCGCTCATACCCCTCAACAAAATACCATCCACTTGGGTAGGCTGTCTGTTCAGAGAAGGGTACATGATTCAGTCCAAGCTTCTAAATGACCAGTTTGGAGATGGTGTGGGTCCAAGTGGGTCCAAGGAGAATGAAACTCCAGACCTGTTCAGGGGCGGGAGGCAGAGGAGCTGCTGGAAGCCACTTTGTGTCCATGCAGCAACCAACCCCACGAGTAGACATTCCCGGGAGTCAGAGCAGGCACAGGTGGGTTCCATGGCGACACTGTCAGCTGATTAGATGAGTCCTTCCCTGAAGCCTATCCTTCCTCTACAGTTTGGTGTATGTACCAATAATTAAGCCAGTGGGAATTAAATCTTCTAGACTTACAACTGAAAGCCTCCTAAACAAGCCCAGCCAAAAAAAAAATAGAATAATTGTGCTCACACTTCTCCAGAAAGCACTTGTGGAGCTTGAATGTTATAATCTTCCAAAGAGAAGTTAGGACTAATGTTTACTATAGGCTGCTTCTAACGGCTGTGAGGAAACTTTCAGGGTATTAATTTTGCTCCCAGCATAATATCACTCTAGTCGGTAATGCCAAAGTCCAGCAAAAATTCTCTGGGGCACTGCACACTCCAAGCGAACAATGAGGGTCTGAGCAGAGCAGCAGCGAGGCCATGACGAGCAGCTCAAGTGCATGTCTGAGTGGTCACAGGAGCGTTTTTTGCTTAGAAGTCTATTTACTTAATTTTCCTAAAAATCTATGAACTCGATTTTTTCTGCACTGCTTCTATTTTTTTAATATTCCCTGTTATATAAAACTACGCTCCTTGTTTCTCTACCTTCTTTCTTTCCTCCTTTCCGGAACTAAAGTCTTATGTTCATTACATAAGAGCATATTAACCTTTTATCTTCTACACCCACATAACACTTGCCTGATTTCTCCCCCTGAGGATTAGGCACCTCTCCTCCGGTTTATAGCAAGGCAAAGTTAGGGCATTCCACTCCTGCCACAAGGTACACACTGGGTTTTTCTACCACTTTTATGTGCTCACACAGAACTACACAATATTTTAAAATTGTTCAGACTTTTACCTTTTACCTCAGATTCAAATTACTAGAACAATTTATTAAAAAACAGATGTTTTCAACAAGAATCTGTTTACTGTGCCTGTGCACACACATACTAGACAAAGTCAAGGCCATAGTGCTCTTTAATGTAAGAATCACTACCCAACTGGTAGAAACCTGGTTTCCACATGCATGGCTCACATACACGTACAACAGGCTCCACCAACAAGCCCACCCCTCAGTTCTACCCAATCCTCCTAATCTTTGGTGCTTCTCATAATTCTGCCCTTTTAGCTGCTACCTCTGTAGTCACTATTTGAAAAATATTAGTTGCTTTTCTGTACATACTATAATTGAGAAGTTTTACTTGAATACTTGAGATAAGGTTTATAAAATTTTAATTATGTAATTTTTCTGTATTCACTCAGTGAAAGCAAAATAGTTTGAGTTGGGTATGTATCTCTGTGGTAGAATGCTTTCTTAGCATGCATGAGGTCCTGGGTTCAATTTCCAGTACCACCAAAAAAAAAAAAAAAAGATAAAGCAAAATAGTTTTTGATATAATTATTTCCTGAATTCCATCTCATTTGGAAAGAAACTTGAAAACAGCACTCAAAATGAATAAAAACTCTAGTACTTTCTGAACATGAAGATAATCATATCTTTTACAAATAGACAAAACCAAATTACCATTACCTTATAACTACAGTTTTAGCAAATCTTAATACAGAACCAAATTTGCAATTCATAAATAATCATGGGGAAAATAAATAAATAAATAAATAATCATGGTGAGTCTATTCTTTATCTGGGACAATTCAGAACTACATCAGTCTATATACCCTCAGGTGAGATACACAGTATCTTTTATTCACTTGGTCATTTAAGAAATATCGTTTGGGGGCTGTGATGGCTCAAGCCGTCGACTGGCATGCGCAGGGCGCTGGGTTCGATCCTCAGTACCACATAAAAA